AGCAACTTTGTGACATGTCCCATTGCAGTAATGTTTCCGTTCTTGAAGTGTTGTTCATCTTGATGCTGTTTCCAATTTTTTTTTTCGCAAATACAGATTTCGAGTTCCGTTTTAATGTTATCCTCTTCTCATATCTCCGGCTACATCTGTGGGACGTAAAGTTAATGTGCATTTAGTTAAACTGCAAAATTCCTTGTAAGGTTAGTTGGTAGCTATCGTAGCGAGTCGTTCGCTCGTCACGCAAACGAATTGGAATATAGAACATTTGTCGGAATTAAAATATTTTCTCAATTGACCTTCATTGTCCTCCCTCCACGATTCTTTCTGTGTTTCACCTATGTCCCACACGTTGAACATTTCAAAATCTGCACGGGTTTAGTCTGTTCAGCCCACAGCTTTATACTACACGCCAGACAACTGGGTAGGAAGAGTTGCCTAACGAGTAAGGCGTTTGTAAATCAGAACAAGAACGCAGTAAATTTTTAACTTTTCAGTAGAGGTGTTAATATAAAACTTTCAGTGCATAAAATATTGATCTAAAAACCAGAAAAAAGTAATCATAATTTATTAACTTTGGTTTTTCATTGGTACCTGAACGTTAACGCGGTGAATTGGGACTTGACTTTCCCACGCCGGTGATTGTAAAGATGGCTATCTTCTGGGTTTTTGCGCCATGTAGTCTGGTAGAAGTGGGCCGACGTTTCAGAGGTGCTGCCGCCGCCATAATCGCAGTGGTGGTGTCAGCAGGGAACCTCTGAAACGTCGGTAAACTTCTACCAGACTACACGGCGCAAAACCCTAGACGGCATCCAGATTTTATCGCGGTGTAATTTGTCATGAGAAACTTTGTCTTTCGGGGGATGAGCCTCGTCAGATGTAGGTGTTCCGACGTTTCGGCGAACGTTTCAGTAGCCGTATTCGAGGGCGAATGTGTATTGGGGGTCTCAGGAAGCCTTAAATAGAGCAGTAGGTCATTTCTAAAACATCGCTCAGAACATACCATTGCAAAAGTGCAGTTAGCTGAGCCACTGCAATGTTTTCCGCGCTGTTTATTCCCATTTAAATGTTTCCTGTTACCGGAAACAGATATAACCCAGCTGGTGTTTGTATAATGCAGATAAACCCCTTAAGTCCTGAGATTCATAGTATAGAAAATTTTGCTTGTATTTTTGTACAACTAAATAGTCGCGAAAAATGCACGACGTGTCGATTCCTGAAGCTCCTGTGTACGAAATGGTCTTAGAAAATGAAAAGGTAATTAAGTTCAAAGTCTTACGATGTTAGATACAATTAAAAATAATAAGGGCTTGGCTTCTATAGCAACGAAAGAGCAGTGCATTCAATAAGGTTAAATATGTTATTTATTTTCATAACGTAATGACCTTATAACTGGAGGTAAAAAAAGAGAGACTCGGCAAACAATGCACACTTTCCGTTATATGAAAGGAGTCATTCATTCAGAAGAGAGACATGTGATTCATACTGGCTTGACGCATGTGTTGATTTCTTACATAGTTCGTAGTACGTTCAGAATGTTTTGAAGATTTTTTTTTTATTTTTATTTTTATGACAGTTCTTACATTCTGTATCTTTGTAAGAGTAGATATAGGTAGTCCTTACTTGTTTGCAGTTGACATGTTTTTAAAGCACGTTTGAAGAGTTTCTGAAGCGGTAATGTTTAATTACGTTGTTGACGAGGAACTCTGCCCTGACTTCAATGATGAAACAATTTGCGTTTCCAAATATTTGACTTATTTTTATTAATCCTAGATTGTTTGATGCTAGTATTGGTTCACGTGGTATTTTGATTTCAGATTCAAATCCACAATCTGGATACTTTTTTTGTGATATTTCGGTAGAGACTACAGACCACATTTTGGGTACCGCTGATATTGGTATAGACTTTTAGCGTCAATAAAAGAACAGTTAGTTTAGTGAAATATATTCGATGTTGAGAAAACGAGGAACCAAATCAGAAACTGAACTAATGGTATGTCCTTTATTATGAGTAAAGTTGGAGCCATCTGAATAGATAAAAGGAAATAATCGACCATTCGTTTGTCCATTGTTTTGCTTGCATCTATTAGCAACGACAGAGACGGAAGACGGTCATGTGACGTCTGATCGTTTCCGTTTAGACGTCGTGCGGGGATGCGTTGGTATGCAGCGCCTCGCAGGTAATGAATGTAACAGAGTGATGGGATAGTACAGCTGCTTGAAACGTTGCCATGGGGACGGTTCCCAAGCGTGGGAAACGAACAAGATTCAGAGAAGGGAAATTCAATTTAATTAGTTGAACTTGTTATAAAAACATAACAAAAACAAGATCCTTAAAGAAACTTCAATTTAAGTGTTCTGATCTTGTCAGGTATATACACTGTTCAGTAAACATTAATCTTTTCTCTCTCTCTCTCTCTCTCTCTCTCTCTCTCTCTCTTTTAATTCTACGTCATTACATGGTTTCTTCAGTGTAATTACGACAAATATTTATTTTCCTGAAATAAAGATTTTATCTTGAACAGCTCAATGTTACTCGTAGATTACTGTCTTTCCACCTAATTAATCCTCATTAACGTTTAACAGTTCAAAATAATTTTCTCAAAGTAGAATTTTTATTTTAAATGCTTGTTCTAAGGAATTATAAAAATCAGATTATGGTAATTATAAATTGTAGACGTTCAGTTTAAAGTGTCCCCGTGTATGATTCTCTCTGCCTTGAAGGCGGTAGTGGTCTCGGAGGTATCACACTTCGCATTTCTCGACGTGGTGCTTTACCGAGTTGCAGAGCTTAAGTATACGCGCAGTACATACTCGGCGGACAGAAATATATTCGTCCTCACTTTTCCACACAACAGAAGCTAAAAGGAATTAGGTACGGATACTATTTTGTTACTGAAAACAGGAACAAATCGAAACCGGTCGTAATATCTGTCAAGCGTGACCAATTTTAAAAAGTATGTCACGTCCGCACATTGATTTCAGCGTTGCATTTTTTGTGTGACGTTACTGTACCACATACATACTGATCTTCCATTGTGTATCCTGTAATACTGACCATCAATTGGCTTTAAAGTCTTCTTAGAAACTTTCATGTCTTATTTCTTCTTTTTAGGGATATGTTGGAAGTTTGCCTGATGAGCATAATAAACAGAACTTAATTTCTATCTTCTTTTTTTGTTTTGTTACAAACGTATGACTGTCTGTTATTCTGAGACTGTGATTTTGCATCTAGAGCGCGGTTGTGAGGTTTTTTACAGGCACTCCCTCAAGTCATCAATCATGAATCTTACAATTTCCAATGAACGTTGTGAAAATAGCTCGTTATCGTGTTTTTTGATTAATCATCCGGGATTAGACCTACTTTAGGAGCGTACTTTTAATTAATTAATTATAGTGGGTAATGCTCAGCTGTTATCTTTAGCCTCTGTAAAGTTTGTTTCTGTGCTGCTCCTTAAGTTTTGTGCAGGTAGATTAGGCTTAGTCAGGAATGGAGCACAGAATTTATTGTCGAAAGACGTTAAAACAAACTCTTCAAAGTAGTTCTTCGATTGGAATTTTCTTCTTAACAGTGCTTGGGTTTCTTTAATAAAATCAATACCTGTGACAATCTTTGTGCTGTCTCTCATAAGTAGGTAGCAATTTATTATAACGTTTTTATTGGTGGAAATTGCAGTACTCTGGATTATGAAGTATGGTTGTTGTGCTTATTTTCAGTTTTATAGATCTATCCTGCTCTGAGTCAGTATTAAATGCATATATTATGTAAATAAGATAACTTTGTATGTATGTGAAAGTAAATAAAGGGAATAGTCTACTTTATATTCTGTCTGTATTCAGAATTGTAATCTCGCGTTGCTTTTTTGTTTCAGGGTACTTTCTCCTTGATCGTGGAAGCCCTACATGATGATAATGCAACATCACGATCCGGCGGTAAGTTGTACTTCATTTTTAACCCCTTCCATCCCTTCACCACCCTCATATGTCTTTTTATCTCTTGTCTTCATTTGTTTTTATTGTTATAAGATTTTTTGTTGTTAAGTTGGCTCACGTTCTTCATGGCGGTCGGAGTGGCAGCTGACCTGGGAGCAGTATAAGCAAGCTCTCGGTGTTCAGTATTCATCACCATGGAAACGTGTCCACAAAACAAAAGCTGGCTTTCGTGAATTTTGTTTTGTTACTATCTCCCTCTGCATGTAGAAATTGTCCGTATCATGCGTGGTTATGGTAGACATGTAATGTTCGTTCCAGAATAAAAAAATCATCGTTGTCGAAGTGTATAAAAATTTTACTTAACAACTTTATCTGGCACTGAGAACGGAACCTTTATGTTGATCGTGTCACCGACCTTTAAAATTTATTGCATTGTATTTGGAGAAGCTGGACCAAATGTTATAAGAAGTGCAGGATTCATTTTTGTGCTCAGAGACGTACTTATACATTGCAAGAATGTATCGCCATGTATTTCGCATATCAGAGTAACACACAACGCGTATTCGTGTGTCAGGATAGAATAAAGTGTAAGCTTCATAAGAATAATATATCGTGACTTAATGTGGGCATTAACTTCAGAGTTTATTTTTAATGATTTTACTGTCGCCCCCAGAGATTTTTGTGGAAGGCAAAGGACACTCAGACTGCATTCTCATGTGAAGCCAAACTTTTTTTTAGCTCATTTCACAGTTTAACCCATTTTAATGCTGAATTTTTATGTGGTAAAATTATTTTCCTTTTTAAGTTGTTTGTGATTTATTATAAAGACTTCGACAAGGTAAACCTGTTACAACTTAGAAGGCAAAGTTTTTGAATTGTCAATGAAAAGACGGGGAGAATGAAATTTCCAAAGATGTTATGTTCCCCATGTTGGTGGGGGGGGGGTACTTTCCCACGGACGCTCAGTGACAAGTGTTCCTCGTAACTAAACTGTTTCAAATTTCAAAGCAGAAAATATCGATCTTCTGTTAAATGGAATTGGAAAGGTTTTTCGTGTTATACGCCGTTAAATAGAAAAGCAGTGGTGAAGTATTTTTTTAAAAAAGATTGAGAAGTGGATAGATAGAACACGCGGGTGACAGCTGTTGACATTTCCCCCCCAAATCTTTTAAGAGGGTGGTTTGGATTTCATCTCGTTGTGACAGTGAAGATGTGTCTTCCGGTTGGAGCCTCGTCTCCAGAGCCCCGTGGAAACAAGTGTGGTCATGCCAGTCTCGCTCCACTTCGTCACAAGTTCTTTCCGGCCCGCTTTGCTTTGTGGCTCAGTCAGTGCTAAACCAGTCCACCTAATTTTCGACAGCCCTTATTTGTCTACCGGCAAGACTTTCGGATTCTTGGGCCCAAATTTTCGTCCTCTTTGAGCAGTTATAAATATAGGTAGTGATTCTTCTCGGTTCTGTTGAGGACAGCGACCCACGTTTGGGCATCTTCTTATGATCTGAAATCAACGTCGTACTGTCGTGATGTAGGTTTCATACATCGGTATTCACAAATCTGGCAGCTTCCATCTTGTACCGATATTAGCCCGTTCAAGCCCGAATGTCGTCTAAATAATATGTAAGAATTTCAGTTGTTACCTCACAGAAGACACAGCGCCCGTTTTAGTAATTCGGAGGTCCGGGTTCGGTTCTTAAGCCAAGATCCCCGCTATCCTAACTCAGCTTTATACTTGATTCCAGTCTCTTCAGGAAAGTGTTGGAATAATGTATTGAAATATGCGACTCGGAAGCCAGCGACCCCTTAGGTCGGGGCCCGCGGGGTGGAAACAGGTGATGCAGGGAATCTTGTTCAGTGCAGAGGATGTACCACGATCACACATCCGGGGGAACGAAACAAAGAAAAAACAGCCGACATGGGCCTTCCACTTTCCTTCTTTGTAACGCGGTAGATCACTTTGCAGGGATCGTTTGAATTTCTCACAATGGAAGTTTCGACGTTTCCCGTCTTCCTTCCGTGCCAGCACCTGGCATCTGCAACGGCGTTTTTATTTTAATTTTGAAACACGACAAATAAAGGTCTCATATTTGTCACTGTAGTGCGTACGAAGTGGCATATTGAGGGACAATTATTATTTGACACTGTGTTTCTCTTAAGATCCGTTTTAATATTATCCTCCCACCTACTTGTTGATTCTTAATGTATGTATTGACCGCCACGGTGGTCGAGCGGTCAGAACACTGGCCTTGTAATCCTGGGGTCTCGGGTTCGATTCCCGGCGGTGCCCGAATTTATAACTTGTGTTGGGCAAGGCCGTGGTCTAGGCAACACGGAGTTTTCCTCCGGGGGCTTCCCCGGTTTCTCCATTCACACACAGAAGAAGGCAATGGCAAACCACTTCTGGATCATCTGCCAAGAACGTATATGAATAGGTCCCAGTCCGAGAAAAGGATGGAAGGATCCTGTTCATATGGACCTGTCGTCTGACAGAAAAATAAATAAATAATAAAATGTATTTATTGCTCGGAATAAATAGGGATTATTTATCTAAGCATTAATCAATTAATCAATCGGTCTTTGTAATGGTGAATTATCGTGTTTCCTTTGCTGAACGGCCAGTTTGTTTAAGTATTATTTAGGCGAGTTTCGCCGACAAAGGGTTAAGTGCTTTAGCAAATCACTGCAACTTTGCATCGACTTGTTTTGGCTTAGAACATCTCACCAAATGTTCGACCTCATCACTTCACACAGCGGGGCCTCTCGCCCCAAAAATATGATAACCTTGTATTTTGTTCGTGGAAAAATGTAATCTTATGATAAAGATAGCCCTTAACTTCCCTTTGCTACTCCTCAGTCACCCCTTGCGTATTATACCAGGTGAAGGAACACTCCCCTTACCCTAGTTCAGTAGGTAGCCCACAATTTTTTTTTCAAGAACATTGGTCTATGGAGGGGGGAGGGTGTTGAAGGGAAGGTAATCAGTGTTATAAGAGAAAGGGGGGGGTCTTTTAAAAACTACCTTCCTGAAATGTATGCAGTAGGAAGGTTAGTGCTGGAAACTCTGTGGTTTTTAGGGTCATCTTTTTTTTCTAGAAATTATATAATGGTAATAATAATCTTCCTGCAGTTGGTATCCTTGGAAGAGGTCAGCTACTTCTTTATCGCCCATGTCTGCGAGGGAAACACACCTCCTGACATGGGAACGAGAAAACATTATAAATAATAAAATACTTTGAACCTTAAACAGGTAAATGCACAGACTGAAAAGAGAGAAATTATGTGGAATTTTAATTTATCTTTGTTACATGTCGTATAGAGTTCCTTTAGGGAGTTATTAGTGAAGTCGACTGTCACTCATCTGAAGAATCCTCAATAGTTTTCTACTTATGTTGTCATGGTGATAATTTGTGGTCGGATCTTTAACGTTCGTCTCTTATTTTATGTAATTCGCGTAAGGTCTTATGAAAGTAATTACGTCCCTTTTAAATACCGACTACAGAGAAGGTTATAACAAAACGTTTACGGAGAAATAAGTGCTCAGAATGTAGGCCATCGTAAAATTGTTCTATAATTGTTATGTGGTGCCTATTTCTTGGTTTGTGGGTTGTTTTTATACTTTTCTAAATTATGAGTATTTATGGGGGGGGGGGGTTTCGTATGTGGAAGTTTTATGCATTGACTATAATTTTCCTCTTCGGAAGGAAGGTTTTTGCAGTTCTAGCCGTGTGCCTGGATTCAGAGAATTTTCACGTCTGTTAATAATCTCATTTCTTGAAACATTGTATGCCGCTGACTCCCAACTGTTATGGCCGAGACTAGTTGGGAGATCACTTGGGAGGATAATATTAAAATGGATTTTTAAGGACTAGAATTACGAAGATGTTGACTTAACTCGTGTGGCGGCTCAGTATAGCTTTCAATAAAAGGCGAAGAGTGTAAGATATTGAAGAGTTATTATTAATTATATTTTTTTGAGTATGTTCAACAAAGCGTGACGCCCTGCGATATAAATAAATATAAAAATCAAGTGACTTGCTTATGGATGTGGTATGCATTTCTCTTTGGCCCCTGAGTCGTGCTTGCGAGACGAAAAGAAAATATCGATTGTTGCTCAAGAACTGGTTGTCTCGAGAAGTTTGTGTCTTCTTCTTCTTCTTCTTTTCCTGCACATCTGTTTCACTGTTCGTAGTCTTGACTTAGGCCCAGAAGAATTTATAGCTTTGTGTGTGTGTGTGTCAATGTACCACACACGCACACACAAATGTTAATGGAGGCCTTCTTCAAAAGGAGTTAAAATTTTGTTCGATATTTTCTTTTAAATAAGAAAAACTTGTCAGTGGGCGCTCTTTAAAACTGTGCAGTCATCGTCTTTAAAATAAGAGAATCGTAAAGGAAGATTAGTTCACAAAACAAACAATTTTGAAGAGAGTTACAGCCGGTATGTTTACAAACACCGCGAAGCTCTTGTTATTTTAAACGTTCTTTATATTATACGGCCTCTCGATGGTCTCTTAAAGGCATTTCAGCCCTACTTTTACAAAGAACCGAAGTCCGTACTTCGTTTTGATTGTATAAAGTGTTTGCGTGCTTTATTCACGTGTCCGCTGAGATTCTTTCTTTCCTCTGTAAGAATAAGAAGAAGAAGAAGAAGAAGGAGGGAATTTCATTATTTTGAAGTTAGCACCATTGATTCGATTTCAATATTTTATTCAGTAAATTATATTAGATAGATATTCTTTTTCTTTAATTATTAATGCCATTGATTTGAACTACTAACTTGATTTGGTCGATTGTCAGTAGTATAGATTCTGCGAACCCGTCATTCAACCTGGATAACTGAGGAAAACCAGTGTTGGTCTCTGCATAAAAAAAAAATGAACCTGTTTGGTACAATCAAGTCGCCACGAAAAGACAATGAACTTCTCGTCTAGTCCAGAAATTACCCAGCTTAAATGGAAACTCGTGGTTCGTTATCGTATTAACAAGGACCCCGTCCTGATGCGCACCTAACTTATTTCCATAAGATTCCCTTTAATATTATCCTCCATCGACAGTTAGGTCATTCTAATGTTTTCTTTCCTTTAGGATTTCCATCAAAACAGAACACGTGAGAAGTTATTTCGCTTTTTTGGTATTTACCCACAGTCATAGTAACCACGCGCACTGTACAATGTAATGAAGGTGGTCGAAGCTTTTAATTTCGCTTTTTTGGTATTTACCCACAGACACGCGTCGACAAAAACAAGACGTTTTATCGTATTGTAGTCATAGTAACCACGCGCACTGTACAGTGTAATGGAGGGTGTCGAAGGTTTTGCAACTGACTGTAAGACATGTCTGCGGTACAGTAAACCTAAAAACCAATACTAATTGTTTCTTACTCCGACCGAACTATTTTCTCACAGACTGCTTCGTTTTTCTTTTCGTTTTTAAAACATATCCAACACGATCTAGTCTAATCTTGTAGCTTGAAATAAATTCGATACAGTGGGGGGAAAAAAAGCGGTAGGAAGCTTTAACCACTGAACATTATGGCGTTCTTCATAATGATGGTGCTGGCTGCAGTTTATGTAATGCGTGGAACACAAATATAGTCTTAAACATTTTTAGTGCCCCTGTAATTGTCAGAACGAATGCGTACCATAAATGGTCTTCTACAATTTTCAGATCAATTTCGTGTAGAAACATTACAACAGTTTCTTATTCTTGGATGATGACACTGGAGGGGTTCATTGACGTTTATGAGGTTGTGGCTGTCTTCTCCATCAGGGTTCAACACTGACGATGGGGGGCAGTTTGTTTCTCTGAAACGTTTGTGTGCTACCGCATCGAACCGAAATATCGGTACCTGAATGCAACACCTGCCGAAACCCGTGGCCTCACTTCGCGCCGGAAGCATGCGTGCGGGTGTCTGGAGCGAGGATTGTGTTCTTCCGGTGATTGTGGACAGGCGCAACGAAGTTAGCAGACGTGTGGGTGTTCCGTATTTTGATCATTCGCTTTTAGACTAGAGGACTGCGTCATTGACAGATGTAGAGGTGTTAGGAATGTGATGTATTGAAGACAACCAACGTTTGTGTGATTTTCCACTTATGTCCTCAAGAGTGTACCGACTGCGTGTCAGAAGACATATTCAACTTCAAATTCAACGACGACGTTGCGTTTCCATGGTGAACTCATACTTTGCAACACGTGTTTTTACTCTGCATTGAGTAAACACATAGGAGTTTGATTCTGTTTCGCTGCATTTAATTTTTTTTTAAAAAAAATTTCGAGGTTACCTCGCGTCTTGCAAAATTTTGTATCACTGCCCCATAATTACGATCTGTATTTTTTTGTGTTTTTGCAGGTGAGACTTTGATCACCCGCCTGACAACGCAGAGGTGGTTGGACGTGGGGGAGGAGTGGACTGAGGACGAATATCGGTCATCTCATGCCGTGATGAGGTACGATTACCGGGTGACCTGCGACGCCCATTACTATGGTGCAGGATGTGCCAACTTGTGCCGTCCCCGGGACGACAGTTTCGGACACTACAAGTGTTCGCCGACTGGCGACCGGGTCTGCCTGTCCGGCTGGCAGGGCGACTACTGCACCAAACGTAAGTGTTCTGCACAAACTTGGTAGGTTTGAGGTTCTCACGGCTCTGAAAATGTAAGTGTTGCTCGTCTGGGTTTTGGAATGATCTTACTGCCTACATCTTTCGGGTTGTTGATGGTGGATTGATTCTTCACATTTCGACCTGCCTAAAAGGTTTCGCTGCGCCCAGAAGACCGATCTTCAGGAACCGTGAGAACTTCAAATATCAGATCTTTAAATTTATACGAAAGTTTTAAAAAAAAAATTCTCTCATAGCCAGAATTACAAGAAATATGGTGAAACTTAATGTTGGCATGTGTGATGTGCGCTTGTTAACTCTTTTAATGAATCATTTCTAGAAAATGTTTGGAAAATGCAAATTGAGTGTTGAGCGTTAGAATAGGTACTTGACTATTGCATTGTAACTAAGTGAGTCACACCGAATTCCGCGGTTTGGAAATAAGAAAGAAGAGAAAATATTTGCTGTCAATTCGCTAATCGATGACGCAGCTTGTGACATCCACGTTAGTTGCCTTCGGCATGAAGTAGACTGTGTGGCGGCTGGTTCATGTGGGCCGTGTGAAAACTGGTTTCACTCAACAGGAGGCCTGTATATTTCACTTTTCATTTCTTTCATTCGGTCATCTTTTGTCCGGATTTGCATGACTGTGACAACATATAGTTGTGATTATTGATTGACTGGATCATGAAAGGTTGAGTTCGCTCTGATCTCGTATTGATGATGGATACAGCAAGCACCTCTGAAACGTCGTTCACTTCTTATTTATTTATTAGTG